ATAAAGTCTGGTAACGTAAGTCTTCTAGCTTAGTTCTTCTTCAGGATCATCTTTTCTGTTTGGGGCTCTGTTCAATTTCAAATAAATTTTGAAATCAACTTATAAATTTTCATATCTATAGATGAAGTGGGTAAAATTGACATCATCTTACACGGCCTGTGAATCTATTGACATAGATTGTCTCTTTGTTTACTTAGTTATTTAACAAACACTCAAAATATGATCTAACATTTCCCTCATAAGTACTTTATCCCAACCTTAACATTCACAGGAAGGAAATTGAGTTTTAAAGTATCTATGCAAACCGGGCTCAGTGGCTCAGTCCGTAATCCCGCGCCTTTGGGAGGCTGAGGTGAGTGGATTGCTGGGCCCGCGGGTTCGAGACCCACCTGGGCAGCGAGACCTCATCTCTACAATAAATCAAAAAATCAGCCGGGCGTGGTAGCACATGCCTGTAATTCTGGCTACTCGGAAGGCTGAGGCGGAAGGATCCCGGAGCCCAGCAGGAGAGGCTGCGGTGGCCGGAAGCGGCCACTGCACTCCAGTCTGGGTAACCGAGTGAGACTCCAACTCAAAAAAAAAAATCTATGCAAAGAAGCAAGATCCAAAATGTTGAATAAGACACAGAGATAAGACCCAATTTCAGTCTCATAATTTCTGGTTGACTGGGTCTCTCAGGCACACTACAAATGAATTACTAGTATTATCTGTTATATATAATTAATACTCATCATGCACTAATTCTTTTTTTGCAAATTATCCTACTTGTCAAAATTTATTTGTAACGACAAAATCAATACTTGTGATGCTTTTGTGTTTTTTTGCAGGCATGCTCAGAGTGTTGAAAAATTTGTCACCAGATGCACACATATCTACCTAAAGTCAAACAAGATCACACTCTGCCACCTTGTTTTAGTTCCCATACACGAAACAATTTTATTTTGCAGTCTACTTAGTTTCATACATTTAGCATTTTTGTGGAGGGTTTTTGTTGGTAATTTTCCTATGTAAAATTGTCCCTTAATGTGGTGCTGGCATGCTAGCTAGCACTCCTAAGCACAAGAAGACTTTGGTTTGCTTTATGGAGAAAATGAGTGTGTTAGATAATCTTAGTTCAAATAGTGAGTTAAATGTTAATAAATCAAAAATTAAAAGGTGTATTTAAACAAAAACAGCAAGATTGTATATTGATCAGTTGCTGAGAACCAAAGTTTGTAGGAACCTGCAAAATTAGTTGTTATATGTAACCAGAGGTTTGCACAAGTAAAGTCTTGAATTTCTCCTAAGAGCAATGGTTCAGTGTTCAATGTTAATGATAACTTTAAGAACATAACTAACACAAAATTTGAGATAATCAACTGTATTTATATGGAAGAGTAAATTCAATGATGCTGTGGGGAAATGTTGAAAGTAAGATTAGTGAGAACAGATATTCTCTTTTTTGGGCATTGTTCATAATTTTGGAGTTGGCTTCAAAGAACAACTAATTTTCTTTGACATTTACATTCCAATTTCTCTTACTATTGACATCTTCTTGAAATCCTTTTCTTACCAGTGATTTTCTTTAACTTTCACATTTGAATTTATCTATGTATTTTATGTAATTTCCAATAGCTGTGTAAAACAATTCAAGGGAAAAGACATGAGCCAAATAAGTGATACCCGCAGGAAGCTGTCCAAGCTAATCATCATCTTATGCATGGAATGCCCTTAAGAAAAAAAAAAAAAGTATACTTCTGAGACTTGTTGCACTATTCAAGGATACTGAACATAGTCATTTGCATGGCATATATTCCCAGAAAACTGTCAGTAATAATGTATAGGGTAATACTTATTATAATAAACATTCTGACTGTCGTGTGAAGATTTTCAATCCTACACAATATTCAGAAATTCACAAAACGCTACTGTGTCATGTCTCCTGTAATGAATATAAGTAATTGTGATGTGTTTTAGATTTTTATTTCTATAATGCATAATTGTACATGTGTGTACATATATGTAGATATTTCTAGGTATATGCATACATATACACACATCTGTATGTATTTCTAGTAGGTACATATATAAAGAAAATGAATGAAATCTACTATTTTTTAAAACCATTTTGTATGCTCCTACTTTCTTCTACTTTTTTGCACATGGTGTAGGATTCTTTACTGGAGCCTTTTTACTCTTTCCACACCTCCCATATTTGCCCATATGACTTATATACTTTTTTATCAGCTATTTCCCTTATATTATCTTCAAACTGTATCCTATATTTTAACAAGTCTACCATCAGAGTAGATCATGAAAACATTTAGCCAGCCCAATTATTGATTCATTTTAGTATTGCATTTTTCATATGTATGGCTGTTTTACATGCTTGTGAATTCTAGCGTTAGAAACAAATAGGAACAATCTGTGTTAAGATGATTGGTTTAAACGCACAACTTTGAAAGAAAGCAAAACTCACTAGTTTATGCAAATGCTGAGCTAATAACTTGGCACATTGCCTGAATCTGCCTCCTCCACTGTGAACAAGTAAATACCACATTCCCAAATTAGAGGGAAATTTTAATTTTTCCTGAAACTGTAAACAAAGATGACACCATGAATGAAAGAAGATGCCCAAATCTCCTGTTATACTGATGCTTTTCATTTATGTTTCAAGTGACCTAAAATGTCTTTTAATAAAGAGCTTAACATTCTTTATATATATCATTCAGAACTTTTACACATGATCTCTAAATGGCATAAAGCCATGCCAGTGATGAAGAAAAACATTAATTGGTGAAAATACGTTAAGCTATAGTATTATTAAAAATCTTTTATTAGTTTCAGAAAAAATTGCAGAGCTAGAGAAAAATATAAATATTTTTCATAGTTTTGGTCTTTGAATTTTCAAATATTACATTTAAAAAAGTAAAATATTTCAAACCATCTATTTTGACAAACTTCTGTTATATAAATATTTACCTTCAGAAATTTAAGCAATAATAACTGGGAAAATCAAAGTTCTCCCTGTATCTCCTATTCCTTCTCAACAATAGCAACTTTATTGCCCTCAACTATAGGATTTCAGAATTCTTTTCTGAAATGAATCTGATCCTATAGTAAACACTGCATCAGTAAGTAGGCTGAAAGACATAGACACAGTGTATTTTTTTTCAAAATTTCTATAGAGTACTGTTCAATTATATATATTTCATTTCATTTCATTTTTCGTTTTGCTTTTTTAGTTCATCTACATGATACAGTTATTTTCTTTGGTGACAAAATATTTAAGTTTGTTTTATGAGATATTTGGAAGCAAATCAATGTCATACAATTTTAAAATTCCATAATTCAAAAATTAAGGATGAATCTGGAGGACATTATGTTGAGTGAAATAAGCCAGGCCCAGAAAAACAAATATTGCATGATCTCACTTACAGTTAGAATCTAAAAAAGTTTAAATCAGAAGCAGAGTATAATAGTGATTACCAGGGGCTGGGATGACAGGAGCATCTGTTGGTAGTCATTGGTTAAACAATAGAAAACATTGATTAGATAGGAAGATTAATTGAATAGATAGGAAGAGATCTATTGTACCACATGGTGACTCTATCTAATAATATTCTTGTTTGAAAATTGCTAGGTAGATTTTAAGTGTTTTCTATCACCACAAAAAATAACTTTGAGATATTGGATAGGTTAATTAGCTTGATTTAGCCATTCCACAGTGTATACATATTTTGAAACATCATAGCCGGGCTCGGTAGCTCAGCCTATAATCCCGCGCCTTTGGGAGGCTGAGGTGAGTGGATTGCCTGA